ATTAGACACAAAATCGGAAATCTCAAAACAATAACTGTATACACCGATGGTTCCCTGAGTAAAGACAAAAGAATGGGTTTTGGATAGCATATTCCACAAATGTCAAAAATCAACTTCCAAGGTAGAATCGAAAAATTCCCATCATCTACCAGAGCAGAACTAGCCGCAATAGCCTTTTTCCTTATAACAGCCCCAGCAGGAAGCAAGGAGACAATATATAGCAACAGTTAGGCAGCACTAAATGCCATAGAAAAAACACGAAAGGACTACTCAAAAATAAGAACACTCAACAACAGTAACCTAATTAACTCTATCATATACACAATCAACTCACAACACATCCAATACACAGGAAAGAAAATTAAAGCACACAACCAAAACCCAAACAACAACAAAGCAGACCAGCTGGCCAAAGAAACAGCAGACCTAAATGCAGACTCCATCATAAATTTCATACCTAAAAGACATGACAAACAAAGATGGTTTCAAGAATGGAATGGCCAGATCTTAGAGAACACAATAACACAAACATACAAGAATATCGCTAGAACCAAATACATATTCAGCTGGAGAATGCTCAACCGCAACCTAACAACAATTTCGAACTGACGCACACTAGAAGATATCAATTGGTCAGAATCCATGACACATAAACACCCTTCAAAAATCACAACAGGAACAACAAACCGAGAAGACCACAATGCAAGATCCTTCAGACTAAAACTATGGAATCTGGAACTTCCAACAAAAGATAAACTACATCAAAGATCCAACACAACGTACTCTGACGACAGATGCATTATATAGAATCAAACACATACTGCATGACCTGTGCACAAAATAGAAAGAATACTATCAAGACACTCAACCAAATCATAAATGAAGAAGTCAGCAGTCGAACAGCCGTAAAACTAGAACACAAGCTTTCCAAAGAAATAGAAGAACACCAAGAGTTATGGACCCAAGAAATCCAGAATTGTGTCGCAAGAGGAGCGCTCACATCCAAACTAATACATATAATAAAAAAATACACAGACAAAGACAAACAAACAGAAACGATAGGTCAAATCATACACAGGTATCTAACAGAACTTCACTCCAAATGGAAAACAGATGCGAACACTTTGCCAAATAGGAAAACGAAAACAACATAACAAAAGAAGACAAGAAAAGATGGAGTACCAACAAGAAAAAGATAAGCCAAAACAAAACCTTCATACCAGGACTTAACAAAATCATCAAACAAGCCAGCTACGACTGGGTCAACTGGAACACAATTTACTTATTCGACACTATTTTTATTTGGGACAGGTAGAGCCTTGGCAAATTAGCTAAGTATATGCCAGTATTTAGCAATAAGCCGCATGGTAGGAAAGTTCCTTAGTGAGCTTTATTTAGGAAAAATGAGTGGGAAATTTGTATATACTCAATTAAATAAACTTAATAAAGCAAGGTGTACGCCAGCCAGTTAAAAAAAAAAATAAACTTAATATCTATTATTATAAAAGGACTTTATATTGTATTTTTGATTTATTGTTAAAAGTGATTTTGTTTTTTTTTAATTTAGTAATTATTTGTTTTTTAATGCATATGTAATAATTTTGTTAAGCTGTATACTTTTTTTTGTAATCATTTAATATATTATAAATTATTTGCTTTTTGTTAATACAAAAAAAATTGTTTTTTTATTAAATTCTTTTTTTAATTAATTCTTTTTAATTGTTTTCACAATGTTTTAAGAGCTTATTTATAGTTAAGCAAATATAATTTTAGAATTGTTTCTATTTTTGTAAGACATTAATATTTTATAATTATTAAAAGAAATAATAGTAAAATTTTGACTGTTTTTCAGTTTCTTGAAAATGTTATTAAATTTTATTATAAAGGTTTTCACTATTATTTTTTGCTTTTTAAAATAATTTGTCAGATTTCTAAGTTTGATAATTTTTTGAATAATATACAGTATATTAAAAATTTTGATGCTTTTGATTTTTTCTTTTTTTATATATTTTTCAATATGTTTGAAAAATATTTTCAGAGGCTGTTTTTAAAAGATTTTTTTTTTCAATTATAATAACGTTTTTAGATAATATTAATAATTGTTGTTTGAGATTTTTTAGTATTTTTTTTGTCAAATTCTTTATTTTTCCAGGATTATGTTTGCATATTTGAATATATTGTTTGTATATTTTTTGAAATAATTTTTTTTTATTGTATTCATGTTTCAAAACTGTATAATTAAGCAAATAGAATTGTGATTAATTTTATATATTGTTTTATTGAGTTCTTTAATTTGTATTTCAATAATTATTTATAAAGCAGAGATAAAATTCAAATCTGATTAATTCTGTTTTAGATATTATTTTTACTTTGTCAAGTGTGTTGTGTATTATAGGAATTAATTTCTTTAAATGTATTAATATATTGTTTTATTATTGGTTACTATAGAATTTGTTTCATAAGTATAAATTGTTTATATCTAAAGAAACTTAAGTATAATATATTTAAGCCAAATTTATTATTATTTAAAGTTTTCCAATATAATTGTATATATTTGGAATTATTTTACCTTTACTAGAATATCTATTAGTTTTTTGATATACTTATTATAGATTTTATATAATATTGCATAAATATATATTGCTATTATTTATACTTTTCTTTTAATTGGAAAAGAAGATTAATTCAAATAATTTTGTTCTTTTAAATCTTTGTTTTAAAAATATATGTTGCTAATTTTTTTTTAATTAGGAGTGCAACATCAAAACCTTTACCTTGTCAGTTGATGTTACTTGAGCTGGTTTGATAGTTAAGAAAGTTTATGAAATTTTTTTTATTTTTAGAAATTTTTATTTCTGTAAGGGCTATTATATTGCTATTTGAATTAATAATTTAATTTGTTTATAGTATTAATTTGCTTATATTTAATTTGAGATCTTTGGTATTGGTTATAAAAATATATCATAACTTGCTGTATTTGCTGCAGTGTTATTAATTTGTACAATATTTTTTTATTATTTTTTTTGTTACTTAAATAATTATTTAATTGTATAATGTTGATAGGTTTGTTTTACTTTTGATATGGTTTGAAGTAGGTTTGCTTTGTTTTAAAAAAAAATATAAATACAAATAACCCAGAAAAAGATATTTATAGTATTAATACTTTGCTAAATAAAAATCACAAATATACAAAATGTTTTGCAATATTTCATTTCAAATTGAATATTTTTAGAATTATTAACTGACTTTTTACAGTCTAGATTTAGATCTAATCAAAAATTTAGAAAACTGTATCAAGATAAATAGTAAAAAAAAAATCTAAAAAATTTGAATCATTAGAATTTAATTTCACATAATACAGTATATTAAAGAGCTTAATTAATTTAATAAAAACAAGTCATATACTAATAATATATAGCAATGGTGAACCTATTGATTGTTAATATTCAATTTTTATAAATAATTTAATAGTTATCAATTAATTTTTACAAATTTCGATATAAGAAAAAGTCTGTGGCAACCATTTTCTTTCAAACTTTTTTAGAGTTTCTCCCTATTTCCATTTATTTTTTTAAACCTTTAGTTTATTATATACTATATTTTTGTTTTTGATAATCGAAAGAATTACTAATATATTTTATATCTTATATTTTTCTTACAAATGATTTAAGAAATCACTTGTATATTATATATTACATATCAGAATACACTTTAACATTGATTTCCATATTTTACTAATATTATAGCAGTGATATAATAATAATTTAACGACAACTTCTAATTATTATAATGAGATAGCATAGTATGGTTACTTTTTATTGACGATTAGGTAAATGATCAAGTAATAATGTTTTTTTTAAAATTTCAAAAATTTCTAATGTTGGATTAACGTACTACTGTATTTTAAAATTTAATTTAATTTTATATGGCTAATAATTAATTATCCTGAAATTTTATGCTTCAATATCATTCATTTAATTAAGATTGATATGCCGAGAATTGAAAAATTATTCGATTGCTTTGACTTTTAGTCGACTAATTATATTATGTTTTCTAGAAAATCAAATTTATTTAAAACCTTTGATTTAATTTTAATTTTTTTGTTTTATTAAAAGTTTAAAATTAAAATTAATATAAATAATGATAAAATTTTTTTAAAAAATCGTATGTTCAAGCTCTTTTCCCCAATGATTGATAAGCCCTTTATTAATTATTCTCTGATTACAAATTTTCGAACAATAATTAATTTTCTTTGTTAATTAATAAAAATCCGAATTTTAACAACTTTTTTTGTTTGTATTCGGCAAACGTTATGTAACAGTCGCGTGCATGGGGCTAAGGATAGAATCAGATGACCATCTGAATAAATTTGTTAATTCGGAATATATGAATGTCGCATTAAATATCAAATAATCAATGATGCTTGAACGGGAATTTTATGAAAGGAATGAATTATTCAAATAATGGTATCCCTTTTTAGATACGAAAATAAATATATTGTTTTCTTTTTTTCATCAAAAGTTTTACCGAGGAATGAATTGCTAATGGATAAACATTCAATAGGTATATTCGCGTGCGCGTGTAAAAACAATGAAGCAAAATTGTTTTTACGAAGAAGGCTATATTAACACCAAATTGAGAGAGTTTCAGTTGTTAAAATAAAAATTTTAAATGTTAAAATTTAATTTGTTCTCTTGTGTGTTGAGTGGTTATGACAAACGTTTATGGAGATAATTAAAGTTCGGGAGCTTACTGTGGGTTACATATGTTCCCATAAATTCATTTTTATTTACTCGAATTTTCTTATCTCCCTGAGAAGGTACACGTGTGAATTATAATACTCCTCGAAGCTGTGTTTCACTTCAATGTATTAGGACCGAGTGAGAAGGGTGATTATTAAGCGCGCAGTAGGTTATCATGTGAGAGGCGCAATTAAGTTCATAGTATTTAAGTAATTATAAGTACGAAGAGCTTGAAGAAAAAAAAAACGACTGCGGAAAATGTCTCTTCCTATACCTTCTCCTCAGCTCTTTGTGTATAACAATGGTTTAACGTTAATCAGAATTTATTGTGGACAAAACTCGCCGATTTTTATTTCTTTAAAACCTCCTCATCAGGTTATATTACCATTGACTAATCGTAATATAAATCCTTTTTTTCTCTTTCGCAAGCTTGGGGAGGAATATTTGCGTCAATATGATGGCATCCCCAGATTAACAGTTGGAGAGATTTCTGTAATAATGTCAAGAAATTGGAATGCGGCAACGAATGAATTCAAGCGAATCTTTAGACAATATACTAATGAAGTAAATGCGTTACGACCTAGGCCGCAAAGGGTAACTTTTCGTCACTTTGAACCTAATAGTCGTTCTACTCGAAGACGATAATCCTTCAAATGCCATTTAAGATAAATGAATTAAGAATTTCGTAGTTCGATACAGTTTTATAATCCCAGTTTAATGTCGCGACATCTATAAATTAAACGACATTTCGTTTTCGTTTTCGTTTTCAATAATGTGAAATAATAGTACACACAGTAATTTAATTTTTATCAGCTTTTTTGGAAAACCTTCATTTTTTGACACGTCTATTTACAAACGATAGATTTTTTGAGTTTTTTTCCTTTGGAAAACAAGGTGATTTTTTCTGTGTAGAGATATATTGGTCTTTTCAGAATGAGACGTAAGGTATTATGAAAAAATATACATAATTACAAACATTATTAAGAGGACATGGTTGTTCCAATTTCTCATAATCATATCGATATATGGTATTATTTTAAACAAATAGTTTATTATATTTTATTGAATTAACCGTATTTATATTTTATATTTTTAATAAGTATATATACATATATATAGATATTGGTCATAATTGTGTGAGATTTGTGATATACAAAATGGATCATTTTTTTCATTACATTAAAGCACTTTTTCCCCCCCTAACTTTAGTGGTATGTTATATATAAATCTTGCTTGGGTGGAATTTTTTAGATTCATTTCGCATATATTGTTATTGTTGCGGCCCAACATACCCCTATTTTAAGGCTAAAGTCGTATAATTGACTTGACCGAGTTTAACGCCTGCGATCCAGCACTTACATCTTTGCTCTAAAATCATGCTTTACCGAACAATCTCTGGATAAAATCCTACTCCATATATTAATTAGTTATTATCATATCTTTTTACACCGCAAACTTGAGATGAAAAATCGATACATACTACATAAATTAATCTTAATATTAAAAAAAAAAAAAAACCAAAGTAATGCACACTATCAAAATGATGAGACACTTATTACACATGATTAATTACAAGGCATTATAATATTTATAATACCAAGTTCACTATAGTAATAAATCCAATGTTATATTCAAAGTTACTACTGTATTTAACCTTTTTAAAATATACTATACATAAATTTTAGAGGTCTATTTTACAGAGTTATCATGACAATGATTTAATATTATTTTAAGTATTTGTGTGAGTGTAAATTTTTGAAGCTAGTGTTGTCGTCATCGACGAGTCCGTCGCTAACTTTAGCTTCTTCTCGCGTGACAATAATCCGAACGCTTGGATTTCGGCACTAAATAAGGTAAAGCTTTATCACTGAGGCGGGTTACTATTTGACCGGTTTCATGCACTTGCTAATCTCTTCTTGTTCGTGTCTCTCTAGGCGCGTCTCAAGATTACAAGTGTCACTCTCTAAACGAATCAAAGGTAACTCAGTTTCTTCTTTAAAGTTTATTGTAGTGGCGAGACCCTTAGGTTATAGCTTATGGAATGTACGTGTTACTGTACAAAGTAAGATAGCATTTATTAATCAAGCGCGGAAAAACAAAAAGAGCGTTCCCAAAACTAAACTCGAACTAACTGACTATGATTTATCATCCCTTACAAACGATATAAAACTATCTTATTTATATGCCGCGACGCGCCTCAATGTTGTTCCCACAACACTAGAATACGTAGCACCTTTGGTATGTATATAATTTTCATTTAACTCTTCATACATTTTATAATAAATACATCAATAACATCTAATACATAAAATATAAACAAAATGATCATTTTATGTATCATAAATTATGAGGTTGCCTATATTTCTAATAATATTTAAAAAATTCTTTTTAAGGAAAGAAAATTCAAGCTTTTCACCTACAAGAATCGTAATTTCCTTTTCCTTACCCATTTTCCCATTTTATATAATTCTACTTCTTTTAAAAATATTATTCTTGAATTGTTCTAAAACTATAAAAACTATATACCATATCTCTCGTATTGTCCAACATTTGCACTGCCTTGGCCAAACATAGTAAGAGATGCACTTGTTTGAATTACGATCTCGGTTAATCTGCAGTAAAATGACGTGATTGGGGGAAAATGTTTATTGAAGTTTCACATTTAAACTGCCGGATATTTGCTTTCTGATTAGTTCATATACTTCATATTCTTCGATAGAGAAATTTGCTCGATTTTCCCTTATGGGAATCTCATAATCGCTCTTGCGACAATAGGACTTGGCGTTATTCTTAGGATTGTCGTGTAAAATCAAGTCATAAGTCCCAAAACAAGGACCATACACGGAAGATCCTTTTTTGTCAATATAAATGGCTTTACTGTCGTTTTTTACTCGACTCAAAGTTGTTCCTTTCTTGTCACTGAAGGAAAATATAAAACTGTCAGACGTTTCGATATACTTTTCGTGTTGTTTTCTTTCCCACCCTATTGGATTGTATCCGCCTATTATCTCTTTGGTCCCCTTTACTTTTGCGACCATCACAATATCCTCTTTTCCTTCACATAACCTCCAAAAATCGGCCACGGAAAATCCATCTTGACTGCCACGTAAAACTAAATTGAGCCTAAAATCGCTATCTGAAAGGTATTTGTGGGGATCATCTCTTTTTTCAACCCAAGAGACAATTTGTGTGGCCTGAGCATATGAGATTACATCAGATTCGAAAATACGGCGAGCAGGCAATTCCTCTGAAGTGATCGGTGTATCTGGAGCCATGAACTTTCTCATTAAATCCGGCCAGATCGTTGGTTCAAGGATTTGCCTGTACGTCTGAAGTTTTTCGAATATGTCTTGCCCAGAAATTTGAAAGTATCTTATCTTTGGTATGCAGTTTTGAAGGATCGTTTTTAAGGTTTGAAAATGCGAATCTTTCCATTGTTCTACATTGGCAGGAAAATTTTGATTCTGAGCTCTTCCCCACTTGATGACATAGTCCCAAACTTTCGTTTCTTCAAGTTGTAAGTCATCCCTTTGAAGAATGGAGACAAGAGCATTTTCTTGTAGTGTTTCAAAATCCCCAGACTCAAATACCAACTCGGGGCTGCTCGCGATAGTTTTGTTACAGTATTCCTGTAAGGAATTAAGATTTTGATATTGAAATACTTCTCTATGAACTCTTGTAAAGTTTGATCGTAACCAAGGAGAGTGGTTTTTTATGAAATAGGATTCAAGATAAGTAGTCAGCTCCATGATACCAAGTTCATTGGCAGTAGCGAAAAGTTCAAAGAGAACGGAAAGCTCTTCTCTCAATTCGAGAACACCCGTGTAAATGTATCTATGGTGTGAATGGCCATCGTTATTTAGAATTTTTGCGATACAGTATTAACTTTCTTATCTAAAAAAAATGTTACCTAATGATGTAGTCAAAAACATTTGACGAAAATTTTGGTTTTCTGATAACCCTTGTGTTATCGGTATTATTATTATTGATTGTCAATTCGTTGTAAAGATGGGGGCACCTAAAGCACAGGATCGAGGAGTGAATTGTATAGGTCTTTTTCGAAGTGCCTTTTCCCACTTCAATGATGGTGTTACATTCATTTTTGCTCTTGTGGAGCTTCGAAAGGTCTTGTGATAAGTTTTCGTAAAATAGGACCACTCGACCATTTTCTCGGACCCTCAATAATCTACGAAATTCCTGAGACAAAATGTTATAACACGCTAGAATTCTACTATGATCTTCTTTTGATTCTAACATATTCATGAATTTCTCGTCAAATTTGTCAAATTCGAAATCCATTTTGAATGGGAAATAGTAGTGATGCTGGCCGATGTGAATAGTAAAAAGTTTGAATAATTAAATTAATCTTCACAATTTGCGCGGCGTGTTTTTTTATGTCCAAATGCCGATAAAGTAAAAACCTGCTATTGTTTATTACTCGCAGAAATAGAAATTCGGCTGAGTTCTTGCATAATTTTAATACATGATTATTTCCAAGAGGGATTATGATAAACGAGATTGTGCAATTTTTTTGCCGAGTCATTTTACATTTTAAATAATTTAATGCAGATAAGGTTTATCTGAATGAACAAAGATTTCAGATACTGTATATCGATTACATGTCTATTTATAGTCAATGGACACGCACGTCTTTACATAACAGGCAGCAATCGGAATTTGCTTTAATTCACGTGATTGGAAGATACCTTATATGTATAGAGTTTTGTGTCGATTTAAAAGGTGTGCATTTTTCTGGGTGCAGGGTATCGACCAAAACAAAATACTGTACATTAGACCATGCACTGCAGTCTATCACAAAGATATGATGCACAGTGAGTTAAGGTTAAGAAGTAAATGTTGACCATCTGTAATAATATTATGTTTTGCTCATGAGTTCATGATCACTGATTTTGAAAAAAAGACGAATACAGTAAACTGTAAAATGACGCGTATTGATATACGGATAGCACGAATTCTAGTTTAAGTCAGGTCCATTCATGCCATGCACGAGTAACGTATCATTCATACAACAAAACCAAATTCTAAAACTTTTATTACTTCAGTGTAAATTGACAAATCCTTTGATAACTTCGAAAATTTTTTTCTTAAAAAAATACATCGTATGCTTTAATGATCACAAGGCAATTGAAAAGTTATCGTAATATATTCGGGTTGTTATTTAAATATCCTTGCATTCAAGCCTACAATATAAACATGTGATATAATGTAAGTCTAGATAATATGGATATCTTAAAATTTTCATTATTAAAAAAATGCAGTATTATGCAAATAATGATAAATCAGATTCTTTATGTTTATTTTTTTTATCATAAACAAGCATTAAATGTGAGACTTTATTTAAATAAGAATATTTACTGTCATTACATTAACAATATTTACATAGTAAATTAATTGTAGCCTATCACAACAAAACTATTGAGATTAGGTACTACTATGGGAGTGGGCTCATAACAATAGTGCTGAATAGCTAATGCCTGTTCAGAATAATAATATTACTGTTGGGATGAAAATTGACTTGTCAATGTAATTGTATGATGCATTTGAGTGTGCAAAAAGAAAAACCAGTAAGTAAAAATTTATCTTCTTAATAATAATGATCTTACATAACTAATCATATATACAATCTGATGTTCTGGATATTTCAGTAATACAATAAATCTTTATAATAAAAATACAAAAAAAAAAATCTAGAACAGATTTAACTATTTTTTTTTTAATATTTCATTTTTGTTGTATTTCTTTTGCACAAACCCTTTTACAATTACCAACTTTTTCTATTAAATTATTATTTGGCTTTGAACAAAATTTATCATAAAAAATAATTGGACAATATGGATGTATATTGTTCCAAAGGTCTGCTTGTTTTTCTTTCAAAAGACCTTTTAATAGAAGCTCTTGAGGATTTAAATTTTTAATATTAGCATTTTGTTTTAGTAAATAAAATTTATCTCAAATGTCGTTAATTTTAATTTTAGCCTTCATTATACCAGGGTTTTCACAGCTAAATTGAAAAAAAATAATATTTTTGAATAGCTGGAGATTTATGATATAATAGGCTAAGTGCTAAAGTCCAATTACAATATATTTCTTCTTGATTTTCTAAGTTTATAGAAATATTATTAGTTGTACTTCTATTTATTATATTAGTTAATTGGTCAATACACCAAATTTCTGATTTAATATATTCTCATTTAGTATTACCAAATCCACAATCAACAGAATTTTGGATATGACCTTTTATCTAAAACCGATATTCAAATTTTTGAAACATATGAATATGGCAAATCCAAAGAAAATATTATAAAAGACATGAATTTTTATTTTGTTCTTCACAATTATCTGCCTATAATTTAATTTCATTGGCATTACCTATAAAAGTAAATAAATTTTTATAATTATAAGTAAATTATCTTATATTTTAAAATTTTATATATACTAATCTACTTACTTGCTATTGAAGTAAAAAATAGATATATCATCAATATAACTTCATTTGTTCCCTTTGCTACTTTTTCTTCAGTATAAAGAATATGCCAATGTCAAGCAATTTCTTCATCTATTAATCCAAATTGATATATTTTCAACAATAATGAAAAATACCATTTTCCTGATTGTTGAAAATTATGAGACAATTCTACATTTTGAACAAAATCAAAAGAGAATACACGAAATAAAGACCGATCAAACTTTTTGGCCATTTGAATATTATTTTTATAAACTTCTCTCATAGCACGATAATCTTGAACATGTATAATAAACTACTTATCAAGATCTTCATTCACATTAGATTTTTCTTTTAATGCACATTTAAAAACTATATATTCATTATATACATTTTTTGATGGTTTTCTTATAATAATTTTGCTAAGTTTATTATCATTTTTCCATATTTTTCAAAAACTTCTATTACTTATAACTTTATCTGGATGCATTAAATTATAAAAAATAAAAAGACGATTATATAAATAATGAAATAGAAGAAAAACATTATTATGTTTTTCATATTGTACACTTATTTATTCATTTACTTTTTTTCATGTATATTTTTGAATTGCCAATGCTTTACCATACTGTTTATCTATTAATTTAATCAAAGACTTTACTTCATTAACTGTTTCAATAAATAACTTATTAATAGATGACTGGCTAAAATTTCCATGAAATTGGAAAAACATTGATTTTTTTTCTTGAACTTATTTATAAAGATAATAAAAAGCATTTCTATCACATATCCAAAATACTTGAAAAAATACACTACAAACTTCACCAAAGTATGATAATTGATACTTAGTATAGAATTTTTGTTTGTAAGGCCCTTTGTTAAAAGAAGTCATAAGTATTATCATTGAATAATACTATTGTTTTTTGATCATATTAAGACTTTCTAGTATAAGAGATTGTAACAAATGTGATGAAATCTTCTCACTACACTTATTCTTATATTAATTAATTTATTAATAGTAACTTGATACTTTTTGAAAACTTTATCAGATTCTTCTGATTAAGATAGGTTTTCAGTTATACTCTTGTTATCACATTTTACTTCTGCACAATCATGTTCTATTTCTTAATTATACTTTGTTTCATTAAGGTTTGTTATAGAAGAAATCAGACTTAGAGTTTCAAAATAAAGCCACAAGTCTTCCAAAATTTCCATTGATAAATTAATGTGTTCAAAAATTTTATTAAGTATGAATTTTTATTCTTATTAATATATACTGTATATTGTTACACTTGATTTTCGCCCAAGATTTTCAATACCCCTTGTCTGATTTTTACTAGCATTGACTCTTGAAATGTTAACTGTTCTAGAATAGTTTTGTATTACAGATCTGTTATTGCATTTTCGACATCTATTGTATCTATTGCACCTTTACTATTTCTAGAACATTTCTATTTTATTTTATTTTTACTTTCTATATTATCTTTACCAAAGTATTTATCTATGTAAATGTTACTATAGTTGAATATTTTGACAAAAATAGTATCTATATCTTAGCTTATATTTTTACCATAGCATAAATTTATCATATACGAAAATATTACAATTTAAATATATATATAAAGGCTCCAATTTCACCTAGGAATTGGCAGGCTTGAACTTATATTTTATCAAATAAATATCTTGACCTTTACAAAACAAATCAACATTGCCTTTTTCACCTGACCTTATATACCTCAGAACTGTACTATTTTGTACACCTCTAGGAACTTTAGCATATCACATTGGTCCTGTCCATCTAAAGTGCCTCCCTGCTATTAGTTCTCTATCTTTATTTTTTTTCTAAGGTAGAAACAATATATAACAATATACATTACATATTATCAAAATGACTAAAATATTAATTGTATATGTGATTAATTATGTAAGATTACAATTTTTCAGGAAACAAATTTTTACTTATTGATTTTCCTTTTCATGCACTCATTTAGTAAATTTAGAATTATATTGAATATTAAATTATTATTAGGATTTGTGCTTGTGGCTTTGTAGTAAGAGTTTTCTTTTATTCTATACCAGATACTGGTGATGTGGTTGCAGTAGCATATTGTGATTTCCAAGCCTTGTATAAGATTTTGAGGGTATAGTTAAAAATATTTTCTTTCTTTTGAAGAAGTATGAATAGAGAAATAAATTTACTGATAGCTAGATTTAATAGATTATTATTTATTAGTTTAAATGTGCCAACAAAGTCAATAGCTTTAATGCTCTTGGGATTCAGATATAAGATAAGGTTTTTAGTTTGGTTTTCTTTTTGTTAATTAAAGATTTGTTATGGATGCAAGAAAAAATATATAGCAAGTCCTCAAAATAAGTATCACATTTTAGACACAAGTTGTTAGAATAGAGACTAGAGTATTATTTGTAGAGTTTAATTTTGATCGAAAGTTAATTTGCAAAAAGTTTTGTTCTAAATGTTGATAGTGTTCTATATTTTATTTAATTATAAGCTTTAAGTTTATTATTTATTTTGATAATAATTTTCAATTCCTTGAAAGATAAAGGTTTGTAATTGCTAAATAGTGTTACACTTGATCTTCGCCCAAGATCATCACTACTCCTTGTCCAATTTTCACTAGCATTTACCCTTGAAATGTTACTTATTCTAGAATAATTCTTGTATTACTATCTTTGTTATTGTTTAGCACTGTACTTTTCGTGCTA